CATGGGCATTTCTCCATCCATTTCCAGCTCTGGGTCTTCGGGTTCGGGGGTTTCCCATCCCAACATACCCATAGCTCGCCTGAAGATGCGAGTATAAGCATCCCCTCTATCCCTTTGTTCTGCTCGGCGATGCTCCCGGATGCGAGTCTGTAGTCTGACACGATCGAGATATAGACTTCTCTCATGCAAATCTCGCCAGCCAGTATCCGGGGCTTGCCAACCAAGTTCGAGATTACGAGCTCGATGTGGCAATCCTTCCAAACGCTCGATAAACCCCCCACCGCCCAATCGAATTCTTGGTGGCGGTCGCGGCTGTAGTGGTGGTGGTGTTGGGAGACGAAGAGGTTGTGGTGGATTTAGGATACGAAAAGGTTGAACGGGAAGTGCAAAGTTATGGATATCTGACGAAGATGGAAAAAAATAAAACAGATCAGCGGGGACATTCTCCGTAGCGCTCCGAATGAGAGCTTACCGTCTGGAAGTCGCCTACGTGGAACAGCTGCTTCATCCTGGAAGATGCGTCTGTTACGTGCAAATTGTCTTTGGGCCCCGAATATGTCCTCTCGCGCGACCTCTTGGATCTCATCGTCGTCGTCTTCGTCGCTGCTGATGACAATAACATCACGATTTTCTCTCCTTTGAGGATTTATAAGGGGCTCTTCACGAGGGATACGTGGACCCTGGTCCCATGGGAGCACCAGTTGTATTTCATCGTCATTGTAACTCCCGAGAAGAAGCTCTCTAGGTCGTAGGGCAAATGAGCTTGCGTTAGGAGTTCCCCTAGGTGTTTCGACGTCTGCATCCGCCATGGTCAAAGGACGCGAAGAGGATTAGCGATGGTGGACGGGAGCAAGGAGTGTTGACCACTAAGCCTCGACGGGGTCTGCTGACCTCTCTTGTCACTGAATCTGCAAAGAATATTGAAAGTAGTTTGATGGGTTTCAAGTACTCGATGGACTGGCCACATCTACCATTACATATACAGGTGAACAATGGGAAGAGGTCTGCGTAGTGTGCTTCCTTAAATAAATTTGCAAAGTATATAATATATATATACATCCTCTATACAGATGGGGCTCTAGCTCAGTGGTAGAGCGCTCCCTTAGCATTTCCTTGCGTGGGAGAGGTAACGTGTTCGATTCATGTGTGCTCCATATATTTTTTCACT